ACATAATTCTGCAGGCCCAGAAGGAAAGATAACACATCCTGCTGGAATAGTTAACTGCACAGCCCAAATTCCTCTTTTCCTTGCAGAACTAACACCTTGCTGCACATTCTGCTCTTGGAGGGCTTCCACCCACTAAGTAGTATCCCAGGTGGCATGACAGAGTTCTTCCAGGGACATGGGTGGAAACAGCTTGTGTTGCTGCTTGGATGGAAACTGCAGGCTGCAGGTGCAATCAGAGCAGGTTACAAAAGTAAGAAGTGGCAAAGAACTGCATTTAGCAAGCTGAGATTACCAACCAGCTTGTCTAGCTCTGCAGAAAGTAGCATTTTCTCTCTTACCTGGTTGGAAATCATACTACAACTGGTCTCCGGCCACTTCATACCACCTCCATGCCGTGGAGGCTGCTTGTGTTTTCTTAGATACCAAAGGGGGGAAAAAGAAAGAAAAACAGGTTAAAAGGGTTGGAGTTAAACACTGAGAAGTGCATGGGGAGTAGTTCCTTCTCCTTGGGCTCTTCTGAGAACGAATGATAGGTTCTTGAGCAGATGGGGCCATATACAATGAAGATCTCATCCAAAGGACCCTTTACTGTTACTGTGGTGGGACCTTACTGGTCAGCCACTGCTATAACCTCTATGTGAGGCTCAGTTGCGGTGAGGAGAAGCCAAAGGAGAACTAGCAGAAAAGATCCTCTGGGCAAAGTGAGATCATCCTGGAGCTGGTGCCAGTCCCACTGGGAACATCTGATGCAACAGCGTTTTTCTAAGGTTTAAACCTTAGAAAAGGTGGTTCTATCAGAACCAGCCTGATGCCACTCAGTGATTCGAAGTGCTCAACCCCTTGCCTTTTGCAATACATCTCCCATCTCTCCAGACTCATCTCCACTGTTTTGATTGTTGCTTTGAAGTAGGGGTGAGTGCCAAGACAGAAGTTAGGAGCATTTCTGCAGCAGGATTAGGGAGGTTGATGCCATTCTGTATGAGTATCGGATTTGCACTTGAGATTTGCTGTTGCTGGGAGACCTTGAAAGGACAGGAACATTGTGAGTATAAATGTACTACAGGATCACACTGTAACAGAAGTGAGATACAGCAGATTTCGGTATCAGTAATGGAACAGTCATCAGTAAACTCAAGTTAGATGAAAAAGAGACTTGGAACTGGAGGAGACACTCTTCCTTCCTATGAATCCCATAAGCCGTGCCCATCTGCTGACAACATTGCTTCATGTTTTCCATTACACGCTTCTAATGTCTTCTTAGTAGTCCCTGTGGAGCACCAACATGAATGTTGTCCTCTATTCCCTACACAGTGCCTCATTCCTGCAGACCTGTAGGACAATATCTCTCCGTAACACACATTCCTCAGTGCAGAGGGTTTTGGAAATGTCACTAAAAATCCCCCCAGGTTTATGTGTATTTGAATCCGGTGGCAGTGAAAACCCCCAGGAGCCTGGAGAGCAGACTGCTGCACTGCGAGTCTTTTGCTTCCCTCTAGTGTTTAATGTCTTTATTTTCTTCTAAGCTATACAGTCTTGAGCTCTGCCATGACCTGACTGTGCCCAAGGGCTGCACAGAGGAAGAATAAAAGGAAATAAACCTTGCAGGTCTTTCAGACCAGATCCATGGGTAGCATAAACTGACTTGGGCTGCATCCTGCTGACATGTACCACGTCAGGAGCCAGCCCAGCATCTTAATGTTAAGCACATCCAAACCGGGTGGTTGCAGTTCTCTCTTTTAGGATCATTTCCATGTGTAGCTCTTAATTCTGCAGTGATGCTGATGATGCCTGTGTGAATTGGTGGAATGCAATGGGATCTTTGCCCCGGGGGTGAAGAGTAGCTGCAGAACTTGTTTTCTGAATGTGCTGAAAGTCTTCACAGTGTGGGGAAACTTAGGATGTCTGAAGAGGAAGAACAGGCTGGCTAACATTTCCTGTGCTGTTCGTTCAGACACCACCTCCTGCCACATCCCTTCAGTGATAAAAGACCCAAATCCATTTCTCCTTCCATTTTCAAACAGTGGTGATTTTGGAGGAAATACTGAAGAAATATAAGGATGAAATGAACCGATGGGGCTCAATGCTTTGCCAACCCTGATTTTATGTCTCTAGGTTACTGCTGCGATCTCAGTCTGGGAGGAACCTTCCCTGGCTAATGGCTGTTGTCAGTTTAGTTTCTAATACATCCTTACTACTGGCTTCCTTGTAGGTGCCATCAGTCCTACAAGTGGCAGTGAAGGGTGGGATACTGACAGTAAAGGGTGGGAAGCTTGCAGTGCTGCTGCCCACATTGATCCTGCTGTGTTGCTGAAACAAATGAGAACAGGTCTTCACTTCCCAGGGTTGACTATCCAAATGGAAGCACCCCTCTCAAGCCTGTTTGCATTGTCTTGAGCAGCAAACCTGCCAGCGACTGACTCTTGAGGCAAAATAATCCCCAGAGTGTGATGGCCTTTTTGAATTCACTGAGACAAGCAACAACCATCAGTGCAATTCAAAGGATGGTGTCTTAAAAGAGCTTGCTCATTCTCTGCGTGGTAATGAAGTGCACTGCTCTGTACATGAAGAAAAGGGTGAGCAGCTTTTATGCCTCAGGACACTACCTGCTCCCTGCAGGGGTCAGCAAGACGTATTTGCTCTGTCTTGGAGAGCACAGCTCTAATAACAAGAGATTTTATGCCTTCTATTTATTTTCCACTGAAGTGTTAAGGCCTGAGCTCCACAAGAGGCAAGGTATTAGCCCTGATGGCCCAGTGAAGGTGCTGTATTCTGCATTCCCATGTCCACTCTTTAATTGGATTAGCTTGGGGTTTGACTGGGACATGAAAGTGGGTTATCTGCTCTCTTCTGTGCTTTACGGGGACACAGAAAGCTTTTTGTGAGTCATGATCCAGTCTTATTGTGTCTGTTCCAAGGTAGTCATCTGACAATTATACAACTCATTATCTTTTCTGTTGTCAAAAGTAAAAGCAGAGCTAATAGAGCAAGAGCAGAGCTCTCTGCAGGTTCAACCTTTGTGTGGCTACCACCTGGGTCCCTGAGGAACTGAGGAGGTCATTAAGTATGAACTGAAGAGACCAAAGGGCTGGATGTTAATATCATGCCTGAGCTTCATACTGCATAAAACTACATAAAGCTCAGTATCTCAGAAAGTACAGCTTGTACTGGGGTTATCTCACAGTCCTGCCAAAGGAAGCCTTCCCCTTTCTGGCTCAGAGATCCTTGTGTGGGGTAGAATTGATGGATTAATGGCATTCTTTCCGTACCAGGAGTGCTCGCAGGTGCTTGCAGAACCATAGCAGGACAGAGCTGAGTGCATGGTTTTAGAGAAAACTACAATACTTTATGCCTTACTCTATTAGGATTCCAAAAAGGAAGGAGTGAGAGTGATTAACCGTCAGTGGCTACGGTTTGAAGTGTACCAAGCTGGTCATTCCTGACTTAAAGCAGTACCAAATCAGTAGTTACTGATGAAGACTAGGGCCATACCTTTACTCTTCTGTTGATCTTACCCTGCCTGATGATGACACAAGCATTCAATTCCAGCAGTGAAGTGATGAGTGGTGGCAATGTCAGCAGATGGGCAAATCCCTGGAGTTGGAGAACCCCAGTGAATGCCGTAGCTTCTCTGTACCAGGAATGACAGCAGGTAGTGGGCGATGTTTTCATGTCTCAGTATTGTTCATCCTTGTTGAGCTGTGGATTAACAGTGTTACCAGATCCGGTTCTGCATAGGGGAGTTTGGCTCTGGTAGTGGCATCACAGTGTTCTGTGGGATCTGGCCACTGGTAATGATTAAACTTGATAGGGGTAAATAAATGGATAATAATAGATAGCAATGATGTTAACAGACCTTTTGGCAGCCCCTCCTCATGGCTTTCTTGCTTCATGCTGGTAGAAGAATCATTGCAGTGCCACAGGTAATGCAGCCACTGAGCTGTGGTTTACCCCTTCACAGAAAGCAGCTGAACGTAGAGAGAATGAATGTCCTCTTTCATTGAAAGGGAAAAAGAATGTCATTAGCTTGGGATTTTCCTGGAGAAGGCCTGTTGAATGAACAAAGGATTCCTTGAGACCCGAGTGCGCTGTTCCGAGACCTGCATTTGCTGGTGGGCATTTTGGGGCATTTCTAGAAAGAAAGGGGAACTCTTCCCAAGTACATCACCTGCAGAACATGGTGCTCCAAAGAGTTTGCTCTAGACTATGTGCTCCAAAGCACACCTATCTCACCTGGAATATAGACTCTTGTTGTCTGTGGAATTCAGGGGGTTATAGATATCCAGAACGCAGTGATCTGCTCACCAGCAGTCACAACTGCCTGACAGGAGGATGGAGCTAGGAAGGGGCTGCTCTCTGCTCCCAAGGGATGGGACAAGAGGAACCGGCCTCAAGCTGCACCAGGGCAGGTTTAGATGGAGCTGAGGAACAATTCCTGCCCCAAAGGGTGCTCAGGCATCGGAACAGGCTGCCCAGGGCAGTGCTGCAGTCACTGTCTTAGATGGGAGAGCTGTCCTAACTGGGTATGTGCATAGTAACGTGCCTCCCTTTCCCTCTTGTCATGTGAATAGGGATGCTGGAGGATACAGAGGAGTTTGTACGATGCTGAGGGGTCTGCACTGGGAAAGCTTTTATGACTTCCTAACGGGAGAAGGTCAGGAGAGAGCTGCAGGGACCAGACGGTGTTTATGTGACCTATTGGGAGTACTGACTGGGATGCTGAGCGGTTTTCTGGGCCGCTCATACAAACAGAGCATCTCGCGTGCTCGGATAGATCACCGCCGCCATCAGAAGCACCCGAGCCCCGCTCACCTGCGCGGTTTGGGTGCGAAAGGCGGGTTTTAAGGCAAAATAGGAGGGAGCATTGACTGAGCCCCTTCGGTCCCGCCGCGCCAGCAGGGGGCAGTAAGCGCGGGGGTCCCGCGGGCAGCGCGGCGGCGGTGGCGGGAGGAGGGCGAGCGCCCCCGCCTCCCCCTTCTCTCTTCTCCCCCCCCCCCCCGCCCGCCGCCTCCTCACGGGGACCCGGGTTCGCGGCGCCCCGCGGCCGAGCGGCGCGGGGGGGAGCGGCGGCGGCCGCAGGATGCAGGCGGGGCGGGCGGCAGCGGGCTGCCGTTCCCGGGGCGGGCAGCTAGAGAGCAGTGCAGGGAGCGGAATCCCGGCCGAGGAGCCCGAGCAGCGCGGCGGCGGCAGCAGCAGCGGCGGCGGCGGCGGCAGAGCAGCTCCCTTCCTGTCGGGGGCGGCTCTGGGCCGGAGGCCGTGAGAGGAGCCGAGCGGCGGCGGAGGCCCGGGCCGGCTCCCGACCGCTGCTCCCCTCCTCCTTCTCCCATGGCGGAGACTAAGATCATCTACCACATAGACGAGGAGGAGACGCCGTACCTGGTGAAGCTGCCGGTGCCGCCGGAGAAAGTCACTCTGGCCGATTTCAAGAATGTGCTCAGCAACCGGCCCGTGCACAGCTACAAGTTCTTCTTCAAGTCCATGGACCAGGATTTCGGGTGAGCGGACCCGGGCCCTGCCCCTCCTCTGGCCCCCCTTCCCCGCGCCCCTTCCCGCTGACAGCCCGAGGGGAGGTCTCTCCGCCTCCCTCGGCACCTGCTTCGCTGCCGGCGGCTCGGCTGCAGCGTGGGGCCGGGCTCCGGGCTCCCCGCTCCCCGCCGGGTGCGGCCCTGCACGCTCGGCGCTAGGCCCCGGCCACCGGCACCCGGGCAAGCCGGCAGGGCCGCCGCTAACATGGCGGCCCGGCCCGGCCCGGCCCCTGCCGCCGCCGCCGCCTCACCCCGCGGTCGCACCGGGGGCTGACAGCGCGGCCGGAGCCTCCCCGAGGCCTCTCGGCTTGTGCTGCCCCCCCCGGCCGCTCTTCCGCCGCGGCGGGCGGGGGGTGAGCGGCCGAAGCTGGTACGGTGTGGGTGAGGCCCGGAGGGTTTGGGCCGGGAGGGGGGCTCTGGAAGGTCGGGCTGCAGAAGCGCTGGAAGGGGAGCGGAGGGGCCGGTGCGGGTGGCGGGTTGTTCTCTTGGGTGCTGAGCAGAACCACCGCTTCTTGCCACCACCACCGAGGTGTTTTGCTGCTGGGGGGGAGCAGGAGGAGACGAGGGCCAGGCTTTCAAACGACCTCTGTGACCCTGTAGGCCACATTCCGGGCTGGAGCTCGGGATATTTGCCATGGATCTCATCCCCGCACACCGATGTGGGTTGTGTGCCACTGGGCTTAGGTACAGCCCTCGTAAAGTAGAGCAATACAAATGCGTTTGACAGCTGGCCTGTCACCTCCAAATGTATTAATCCTCTTGCAGCAAAGCACTTTGTACTCGCATCCGTCACTGGCCAGGCTGTTTTACATATGTAAGTGCCTTGTCAGTGAAAAAGAGCAGGTTTGTGGGACACTAATACAGCCCTGACTAACATAACGCTGTGGCTGAGGTGTGGGGTTTATGTTTGGTGAGATAGAGCCCCAACATCCTTTTACACCTTGTGTAGCCTCTGTCTTACCCCTGAGACTCCAAGCCTTTCATGTTAATTGTGTTCTTATCCGTGGTGGAAAGCGGCTATTGTTTGTTGACATGTCTTTCTGCTGTGGCGAGCTGGTGGTGTTGGCGTGGTGCTGCAGGAGTTGTTCATGGATCGGCTTCTTCTGGGTTGTGCAGACAAGTTTCCTGGGATGCAGCTGCACACTGTTTGCTTGCAGAATGAGGGCTGGGAAACTGCCTCTCCGTCAATTCTTCCCCTTCCTCCTTCAGTGACCGGGACACAGACCCCGCTGTGGTCGTGGCCAGTCAAGCTCTGCAGTTTGTGTGGTGCAGCCTCAGTAAAGGGTGTTGGGGTTGTTGTGCCTTCAGTGCCGCCGCTGCAGAGATCTGGTGCTAGGAAACATCAACACGTGGCACACACTAGGAGCTTCTCTAATGCCTTTGGGCTGTTCCTAAGCTTTGCCCAGGGAACAGGGTAGTCCTATGGTGGATTCTCTTCTAGTCTTGAAACCGGGATGAAAATTGTCTGTTGTTCATGTATTGCCTTGGAAATGGAGATGGGGGAAGGTGCAGGGCTGCAAGTGGGTGATGAGGATTAGGACCTGTGCGTTCTGTATCTCTTATTGAAACTGTAATCTCAAATACAGGTGCTGAATGCATCAGGGTGGTGATGCGCTGTCTTGAGACAGGTAGAACTGCACGTGGTGACTCTTGCAAGTCAATGAGCTGTCAGCCAGCTTATTGTTGCTTTTGTGTGTCAACCACATTTGTGTTCCTCTCTGAATCCTAAATACTGCTGAAAACCAGGGAATTAGCAGAAAACTCACCTGAATCTTGGCTGTCTCAGCAGGTGTTCATAGTAAAGAAGGGTTCCTTTTCATCATCTTATCTTCAAGCTGACTTTAATTGGTGTTGCAAATAGGTAAGAGGGGATGCCGTTGCCAGTAACCATAACAAAATCGTGTGTCTGATTTCTACTCCTGTGCCTGGAAATGTCCTCCAGAGAAATTCCTCTCTGCATGTTCTCTAAGTGGTCCTTGAGCGTGAGCAACGGTAATGGTTTGGTTTGAAAGGCAGTGCTGCACAGTTCTGGTCTTCCGTTGCTGCTCTATGGCTGTGTGGAGCTATGACTTGGCATGGTGACCGCTGCTTGGCAGCGTGGTTTGTCGATCCCGCTGTGGAGTGAAAAGTACTTCTTGTGTTAAGAGAGCAAATGTTTTCCTGGAGATGTGGAGCCTCCTTGAGAAGCCGGTGATCGGGAACTGACTTTGCAGTGCTGCACGTGTTGTTGTAACTAAGGCTTCCTTTCCTGGACCCTGGAATAATGTCATTAATAATAGTGTTCAAAAGCAGTGGATGTGTTGATTTGTTTCTAGCTGTGAAAGGTAGAGCTGCGAAGGGTTGGGATGGAGTTGGGTTGGGGATGTGGAGCCATGTCAAGCTGCATTCTGAAATGAAGCAGTTATGTTTTGTGTGCCTGGGGCTGAGCAACCAGCCTGCTTTCAGCTTTGCTTCTCAGAAGGTGCAGGAGAAGAGAGGTGTAGGAGTGGTATATTTCCTTCTGGATTTCTGTTATGGTTTAATTTACTGCTCTGCCTTTCAGTCTTAGTGTTACACTATCCGTAAAGCTGTGGAAAATAGACCCAGGGAGGAAGCTTCGTCTTGATTTTCCTGGTAGCATTGCTTTGACATAAACCCACTTTTCCCTCTGCCATTTCATTCTCAAGGGTGCACTAACACTTGTTGGAATGGACCTGTCTTGATTCTGCAAACCCATGTTTCCTGCTGAACTCCACGTGGAGATATGATGATGTGTTTAAGATGCAGGATGTCCAACTGGGTTCTGATTTGAAAGCTTAACCCTTGGAAGTGCTTTGTAGCTTCTGTTCTTTTCTAGTCAGTGGGAAATTAAGCAGGGACATTATAGGATCAGACCCATTGATGTGACAGCATCCACCAGCAATGACACTGAGGAGAGGTGACATTTGTGATACATGTTTTCTAGACAAGGAGCTGTGTCATCAGTTGTTCAGTTGCTTGCAGCAACTCATTCCTTCCTCTCAGGGGAAGAGCTCAGGGGTCACTTCCCATCACTGGAACTGTTGATTCTGGGGTTGCAGCCACACACAGCCCTGCAGTAATGCATAATACAGTAATGCATAATGCAGTTCTGCTGGTTCTTTGATGGCAAAATGACACTAGAAATAAAGCTATAGTTTGGGCTCTCAGACTGGAACTCTGACAAATACATAAACTGTTGGATCCAAATGATACAAAATGAATCTGTGTGAGGTTATTAATCCTCTATAAGAGGAATTTCTGACTGTCTGCTCTTAAACATTTGTTATTTGCAGAGCTTTTCATGTAAAACACTATCACAAACTTCCAAAAATGCCAAAGTATCAATGTATATGATCTGTTTGGTTGATGTATCACCAGGGAAGGAACTGCTGATGGTGTCTTTCAGTACCGTGGGATGGGAAGAGCAAGTCAATCTTAGGCTCTGCAGTCTTTATCCATCAACCACCACAGTCTGTTCTGCCATCCTCCTGGGTGAGGTTCAAGTCCTCATTCTTTCCATTGTGTGAACTAATACTCTTTTGATTATACTTCTTTAGGGAGTACTTTGAGGAGTGGCTTTTTAGGCATTCCTTTGGTATCAGCAAAAGAACTTCCTTTTAAACTGCACTTTTAGGTGCAGTTGTTCCTTGTGCAGGACTTGATTTGCTTGGTATTCCATGTGCTGAAAGCTGGCGAGCAAAATGGGATTTAAAGCAGCAGGAATCAGGTTTGGGATTATGAGCTGAATGTGGCAATCTCTGATACAAGAGGAGCATGAGAAGCACTGCTTTGTGTCTTTTCTCATGCAGGCAGTGTACCGTCTCTGTTCTCACCCTTGCCTTAAGAGTAGCCCTAACTGCGAAGCAAGGAATCCTAAGTGACAAGTGTCTTGCTATGGAGAAGGTTTGGGGTTGAGTTCTGTGCTTGGAAAACATGTTTCCATGCTTATTCAGGAATAAGGCAGCACCCTGGACAAGAGGGTAGGATTGTGCCTCTTAGGAGGACTCTGCTGTGCTGTGGAGTAGTAAGAGCATAGTTTTGGGATGGGGTTTTTTGGTAGTTATTGCAAACAGGATTTTAATGAGGTATTTTTGCTGGTGTTTTTAAGGAGATCCCCTCAAGACTAAAGAGCAGCATGAAAGGATGCCCACCTCCATACTTGTTTGAGAGCTGAACAAGCAGGTGACAGAGGCTCATATAGGTCAGTTACAGGTAGGAATTTGTCTTTTTTGAAGCAGAATAAAATGAAGGCAAGTGATTTGTATTTGCATTAGCAGATATGGAGCTGGTAGATTCATGTGCAGAGGGGGCTAAAAATAGCAGCTTAGGAAAATGATCTTTGCAGCTCTGTGACAAGGACTGATGCCCGCAGTCTGTATGGATCAGAACTAGGCAAGGGGACATTGAGGAAACTAGCTGTGTGAATGGAGAGTCAGGAATACTCCACAGACTGCAAGACCAAGATGTAGGGTGGATGTGAAGGTCTAGAAAGCACTCACAGGATTCAGGATGATGTGCAGGTTAGTGACCTGAATGATGAACAGATAGGAAGAGGTGTGCCATATAACTCTAGGCCTTGAAATATAACCAAGGTGATCTTTACAAAGCAGCCATATAGGATCTGTGTACTGGTTTTCCCATGTGCATCTCTGTCTCCTTCCTGTTTAGTCTCTTTTACCCTCAGTGTTACTGAGGGAACAGGGTGTTTTTAGGAGGGGTGAATGAGTAAGGAAGTAATTCTGTGAGGGTAGAGCTGATGGAAGCAGGAAGATCTGTGTCCTTGCAGTGTTAACCCTCTGTATTTTCTGTTATCTCAGGCTGCTTTATCAGTCAATAGATACCCAGAGATCTGAAATACAGTCAGATTGAGAAAAAGCCAGCAGTTTACTTGGACACAAGCTTAAAAAGGGTTGGCAATTTCTGCTGATAATTCACATATTTCACCATATAGATCCTTGCAAATGCCCGTG